GGTTCTCAGGTTATTTTTAATTACAGGTAAAAGTGACAAACATGAAGGCCTTGAGAGCCTTGCACATCAGAGTTCTCAGGCAGCTTTCTCATAACAAGTGGATATTCTATCTTTGGCTGTTTTGGGAAAGCAAGAATAATTTTGAGAACCCAAATCTTGGTATTGGAAACATAAGGAGGAGTTGGTGTGTAATCTCTGGCCTATTGTGAGCTCAGATTTTGCAATATGCATGAACTTGATTAACACTGTTATAAAAAGTGATTGATGGATTAATAAATCGGAGTCGATGCTGACCAATGCAAGGTGGGTCGTCTCCCTGCAACTTCAATATATGGTGAACTTCAATAGGGATGCTTTAAAAAAATTTCTGCATGTTCTGAGAGGAGCAAATACATTCCAGAAATCACAAAATCATGGGATGGTTTGGGTGGGATGGGACCTTAAAGACCTTCTGCTTCCATTCCCCTGCCTTGGACAGGGACACCTCCCACTGTCCCAGGTTGATCCAAGCCCCATCCAGCCTGGCCTTGGGCACTGCCAAGGATCCAGGGGCAGCCACAGCTGCTGTGGGCACCTGTGCCAGGGCTCAGCACCCTCACAGGAGGGAATTTCTTCCTAATATGTAAATATCTCCTTTTAGTTTCAAACGTTTCCCCTTTGTCTTATCAGTATCTGCCTGTGTAAAAGTCCTTGGATTGCTCCTGCTCCCTCCCTCTGTTGGGCTGCCATTCAGATTCCTTTCCCTTTCATTCATGAAAAGTTATTTTTGTGTCTCTTCTTGTTTGAAGTAAATGCCTCTGAAATGGAGAGTGATTGGGGTTTGGATGTGTCTCTAAAAATAGAGCTTGCATCTTCTTTCAAGATTTCCTTTGGTGATGGTTGGGGGTGGCCTCTGTGGAAATCCATAAAAATAACTTGGTGGATTAAAAATACTGTGGGGAGCTGGAAAGCTTTGGGAGGGCCTGTAGAGCCACCAGATAAATCTGCCTGGGAGAAAATGTGTCCTCCAACTTGTCAGGCTGCTGCCTGTGCAAAGATTGTTCCCTGAGGAGCCTGGCACGAGGGGTTCTTGTTCCAAAGGGAGAGCAATGAGAGCTTCTCCATGTTCCACCCTATCTGTTTGCAGATAAGGAATTTACTGAAACACAAGATCCTGTTTGCCAAAGGAACTTTGGTAACATCTATTCTGGAATTTGTTCAGGGAAGGGAACAGAGCTGGGGAAGGGTCTGGAGCACCAGGAGGGGCTGAGGGAGCTGGGAAGGGGCTCAGCCTGGAGCAAAGGGGGATCAGGGGGCACCTTGTGGCTCTGAGGGGACAGCTGGGGGGTCGGGCTGTGCTCCAGGGAACAGGGACAGGAGGAGAGGGAACGGCCTCAGGCTGGGCCAGGGGAGGTTAAAATTGGATATTTGGGAAAATTTCTTCATGGAAAGGGCAGTCAGGCATTGGCACAGCTGCCCAGGGCAGTGTTGGAGTCCCCATCCCTGGGGAGATTTTTGGATGTGGCACTTGGGGACATGGTCAGTGGTGGCCTTGGCAGTGCTGGGTTAATAGTTGGGATTGTGGAGGTTTTTTCCAACATTTATGATTCCATTATTCAGTTTATTTTCTAAAAGTTCCTTTTTTCCTCCTGGAAGCTACCATAAGGATTGAATCCTGCTCCCATAAGCCCTTCCATGTGGCTCCATTTTCCCCTTTGCTCTGGATCCTGTGCATCTCCAGCCTCTCCTTGAGCTCATTAATTGTGGTATTAATCTGTTCCAGTTCCCAGCTCTAATCTCAGATTCCATCAGATCAGAGGTTTCTCTTGATCTTTTCCAAGAAGCTCATTATCTAACACAGCTGTAAATGTTGCTGGGCCTGACACTGATGCATATTTTGTACCATGGGGGAATTTGACTAATAAAATAATCCAATTAGACATTTGTTTTTGTCTCCCTGCAGCATCTTAGATTACTTGTCTACCTCAGCTCAGTGTTGTAATTAGGGAAGGTTTGTACATCCTTTGATGTAAAAGCTCTGCTGTTATCCATGGCTCTGGCTGTGGTTCAGAACTTGGGAAAAGGAATAGCTGGGGATTAAAGCTGCAGCAGGGCTGTGGGGAGGGGTGTCAGTGTTTGAGTGTTGTACAGCAAATTCTCTGAACAGGAGCTGTTGGGGGAATCTCATCAAAACCAGCATTCCTGAGAATGGAGAGACCACATGGGTGCTTAGAGAACAGAATTAATTAATGAATTCAGTGAAAACTGTTTGCATAGAATCACAGGATGGTTTGGTGTTGTATTTGTGGGGTTCCCAGATGAAGGAAGGAATGATGAATTGACTCCATGTTCTCAGAAGGGTAATTTATTATTTTAAGATACTATATTATATTAAACAATACTAAACTAAACTATACTAAATAATACAGCAAGGATACAGACAGAAGGCTAAAAAGATAATAATGAAAACTCCTGACTCTCTCCAGAGCCCTGACACAGCTTGGCCCTGATTGGCCAAAGAGTGAAAACAACTCACAGCAGAGTCCAATGGAACAATCACCTGTGGGTGAACAATCTCCAAACACATTCCACATGAGCACAGCACAGGAGAAGCAAATGAGATAAGAATTGTTTTCCTTTTCTCTGAGGCTTCTCAGGAGAAGAATCCTGGGTGAAGGGATTTTCCAGAAAATGTGACTGTGCCAGTTTGGGTGGGAAGGGACCTTAAAGAGCACAAGTTCCAACCTCCTCCCATGGGTAGGGGCACAGAAAGGTGCTGATGCTGTGGCTGTGCCACGCCCTGTCCCATTTACTGCAAAAGCATCGGGGGGTGGGGTGGTCAGGACAGATGGAGATGAGAGATCTCTGCAGCCAGGTCAGGAATTGGGGTTCATTGCACAGGGCCTGGGTGCAGGGCCCTGCTGGGAGCTGCAGCCACAGCTCAGAGCAGGCCCGAGAGAAGAGAGACAGTGGGAGAGAGGGTGAGAGAATAAGAGAGTAAGAGAGTGAGGTTCCCGTTCCAATACAATAAATCTTCTTCTGTGTTGAATATTCTAATTCTCACTAATCAATCTAGTACAATATACAAATCTTATAGCATTTCCATACAGCCTGTAAGTATCATTACATTACCATACTGTGTTACATTTTAAACCCTAAAAACTCCTCTTTGGGCCCCTTTCTGCCAAGCTGGCAGGGTCTGCTCTGACCCTTGGACCTGTCTGCAAGCAGAGGGTGTTGTTCCATCAAAAGGGGAACCTTCAGTCTGCCACACCATTGTTTTCCAGTTGTTCAGTAACTGAGGGATCTCAAAGCTTGCTTTCATTTCAATCTCACAGTTTCTATATTTCAAAATCTTTTGCCAGGCAATCATATTTATAAGGCTTTATGAATATGATTGGCATATAAAGTCATGTATAAGGCATATAAATTAACCTTAAAAATCCCTTTGCCAAGATTTTTCTCTTGAGAAGCTGAGAGGCCTCAGGAACAAAATGTAAACAATGATTATCTGCTGCTGTGGAATGCAACAGGTGCATCTGGGATTGGTCTGTGTGGTTGTTTCTAATTAATGGCCAATCACAGCCCAGCTGGCTCAGACTGTCTGGTCAGTCATGAGATTTTATTATCATTCCATTCTTTCTTTTTCCTTTCAGGCCTTCTGATGAAATCTAAAACTATCATATGTAGTTTTGATATAATAAAACGATACTATTCTTTTAGTATAGTTTTAGTATATACTTTTTGTTGCCTTTTAATATAATATATGTCATAAAATAATAAATCAGCCTTCTGAAACATGGAGTCAAGATTCTCATCTCTTCCCTCATCCTGGGACTCCTGTGAACACCACCACAGCTTTCCTGTTTCATCTGCTGATGAAATCCTTTCTTCTGTTATTTTAGTATAGTTTTAATATATCATTTTCTTTTAATATATCATTTTCTTTTAATATAATACATATCATAAAATAATAAGTCAGTCTTCTGAAATATGGAGTCAAGATTCTTGTCTCTTCAAGAGAAGGTGTCCTGGGACTCCTGTGAACACCATCACAGCTTTCCTGTTTCATCTGCTGATGAAATCCTTTCTTCTATTCTTTTTGTATAGTTTTAATATATCATATTCTTTTAATACAATAATAAATACATAAAATAATACATAAATAATAATAAATCAGCCTCTGAAACAAGGAGTCAAGATTCTCATCCCCTCCCTTGTTCTGGGATCCCTGTGAACACCACCACAGCTTTCCTGTTTCATCTGTTGATGAAATCCTTTCTTCTGTTCTTTTAGTATAGTTTTAATATGTAATTTTCTTTTAATATAATATATATCATAAAATAATAAGTCAGTCTTCTGAAATACAGAGTCAAGATTCTCTTCTCTTGTCCTGGGTGTGAACACCACCACAGCTTTCGTGTTTCATCTGCTGATGAAATCCTTTCTTCTATTATTTTAGTATAGTTTTAATATATCATTTTCTTTTAATATATCATTTTCTTTTAATATAATATATATCATAAAATAATAAGTCAGTCTTCTGAAATACGGAGTCAAGATTCTCTTCTCTTGTCCTGGGTGTGAGCACCAGCACAGCTTTTCCTGTTTCACCCTCCCCAACAATTTACTCTTTGTCTTCTCTCTGCAGTCTTTCCCTGGTTTGGCTTGGACATCGGAGGCACCTTGGTCAAACTGGTTTATTTTGAACCCAAGGACATCACGGCCGAAGAGGAAGAGGAAGAAGTGGAAAACCTGAAAAGCATCCGCAAATACCTGACCTCCAACGTAGCCTATGGCTCCACAGGCATTCGGGATGTGCACCTGGAGCTCAGGGAGCTCACGCTGTGTGGACGTAAAGGCAATCTGCACTTTATACGCTTTCCTACCCATGACATGCCTGCTTTTATCCAAATGGGAAGCGAAAAGCACTTCTCGAGCCTCCACACCACCTTATGTGCCACGGGAGGTGGAGCGTACAAATTTGAGCAGGACTTTCGCACAGTAGGCATTTTTGGCTTCTATACCCTTAAGGATCTGCTAGTGAGGTTGCTTTGAAAGCTTCCAGCTAGAAACTTTGCTCTGCACGCTCTGAAATTTCTCTCAATCTGTGTTTGGATGCTGTCCCTAACTCAGAGTTGGCATCTCCAAATCCTGCCCTGAATGTAACTCTGAAATTGTTCATTAATGATCTTTCTTACAAATCTTCCTCTCTGTTTTTAATCTCTTCTTGTGCTAACCTCAGTCTTCTTGGTTTTTTGGGTTTTTTTTTTACTCATTGCTGTCTTTCTCCTGCTTTATTTTCTTCCTTTGCTCACCTGATTTCATTTCTAACACCTGTGTGAATGAGCTGGTTGAGGTTCAGGCATATTTGGTGGTAAATGTCAGGAAGTTCATAGTTGGGGTTGGACATCATCATGGGGCTTCACCTTGTTCATGGTGAAAAATATGTGATAAATCTTTGTTTAGTCAGGGCTTGGAAAAATGCAAATAAAGAGGCTTTTAGAGAATCATTAAGGGTGAAAAGCCCTCTAAGATCATCCAGTCCAGCACTGCCAAGGTCACCAGTGACCATGTCCCCAAGTGCCACATCCACATGGCTTTTAAATCCCTCCAGGGATGGGGATTCTACCACTATCCTGGGCATCACAACCATTTCTGTTGAGTTTTTCTTATATCCAATATTGTGTGGCCAAGGCAGTGACATCCTTGCTTTTTTTTGATGTTCTTTTGGATGGGTTTTGTGGGATATTTTGGTCAAACAATGCAATCCTGGCTTTTCACACTGGTGCCTCAGCATCAGGGCTGTAGGAGTTGCTGGAATTCTCTCAGTGTCCATCTATAAATCCAGATTGTTTTCCCCTGTTCCTCACCTGAGGGTTGCTGTATTTAAGAGTCCCTGTGCTCTCCCTCAGCCTCCACAGGGAGCATGGACATAGCTGGACTGAGCTGGCAGTGAATGCATTTTTCCAGCCCTGAGCATAAATACTTCAAATCCTTGGCTAATCTTCAATATTCCTCTTTTTTCCTTCCCACCAGATGGGTGACCTTGAGCTGTGCAAGCTCGATGAGCTGGACTGCCTTGTCAAAGGAGTGCTGTACATTGACTCTGTGGGCTTCAATGGCCGCTCAGAGTGTTACTATTTTGAGAACCCCACGGATGCTGAGAGGTGCCAGAAGCTTCCATTCAACCTGGAGAATCCCTATCCTCTCCTCCTGGTGAACATTGGCTCAGGGGTCAGCATTTTGGCTGTCTATTCCAAAGACAACTACAAACGGGTAACAGGCACCAGGTGAGTGCTGGGGGGGAAAAGGGACTCTGATTTTAGGGTGTGGAGCACATTCCTGCTTTGTAAATGGCATTTTCAGGGTCAAGCTGCAATAAAGGTGGTGAGGGAAATGACCAAGCTCTTACTGCAGTGACTCCCTGCCAGAAAAGATCCCTTCTGGAATAGAGGATGTGGATTTCATGGTTTTTCTTTGTGCAGCCAGTCTCCATCAAAGCTGGTTTTGCAGTTGCTCTGCTGCAGGAATTTAAGGGCTGTATTTATTTCTTTTATGAGATCACATAGTTTGGGATTGTTAACAACTCTTAGCTTTGATCCAAGATGTTGAGATTTCCATCCTGACTTCCAGAAGTTGCCAGATTTTGGTGGAGGCATAGCAGTAATTCCCCAGTTGCTGCCCATCTTAAAGATGTGGCTTTTGTGTCCTGGCAAAGCCATCGAGTTCTGTGGCTTTAAGCTGTCCTGGATTCCCTGAAAGGTAATAATGATAATGATAATGATAATAATTGAAAATTCCCTCAGTACAGTTCTTACTAGAGATCATTAGCAGCATCTCTGTGCTGTAAAGTGAACAAGACAGAGTTTTTCCCCCAGCTTTTGGATATCTCTGCCCTGACACTCCAGTTACCCCTCAGAACTAACATTTATTTTAAGATTAACATCTCTGGATGCTGGGAAGAAAGTGGGCAGTGTAACATAAAAAAATCAAGGTGCAGAAGGCTGTGAGGGATTCCTTACAGCCTCTAGGTGTAGCTTTATTAATTTCTTCTATGAGATCACATAGTTTGGGATTGTTAACAACTCTTAGCTTTGATCCAAGACGTTGAGATTTCCATCCTGACTTCCAAAAGTTGCCAGATTTTGCTGGAAGGGATAATGGAATAGCAGTAATTCCCATCTTAAAGATGTGGCTTTTGTGTCCTGGCAAAGCCATAGAATTCTGTGGCTTTAAGCTTTCCTGGATTCCCTGAAGGGCAGTAGTAATAATAATAATAATAATAATAATAATAATAATAATAATAATAATAATAATAATAATAATAATAATGATAATAATTGAAAATTCCCTCAGTACAGTTCTTACTCTTACTGGACTTGATTAGTGGCATCTCCGTGCTGTAAAGTGAACAAGACTCCCAATATTTGTATATTTGCCCTGACACTCCAGTTACCCCTCAGAACTAACATTTATTTTAAGATTAACATCTCTGGATGCTGGGAAGAAAGTGGGCAGTGTAACATAAAAAAATCAAGGTGCAGAAGGCAGTGAGGGATTCCTTACAGCCTCTAGGTCATGAGAGAGGAACAGACTTTAAGGAAAATGCTGCTTTTCCAAAACCAAGGTGGTTTTCCCTAAAAAAAGAGCTTAGAAATGGGCTGACCTGAGCGAACTGGGATGCAGCGCTGCACAATCTGAGCTTTCATTTTCATTTTGCTTTGCTTGCAGCCTTGGAGGAGGAACCTTCTTTGGCCTCTGCTGCCTTCTGACAGGCTGCTCCACGTTTGAGGAGGCCCTGGAGATGGCGTCCCACGGGGACAGCACCAAGGTGGACAAGCTGGTGAGGGACATCTATGGAGGAGACTACGAGCGCTTCGGGCTGCCAGGCTGGGCCGTGGCATCCAGGTAATGCCTGCCTGCCCCTCAGCTTGGTTTTGTTTCCCCTGGAAATCCTGCAAGGATGAAAAACTGGGTTTAGGTGCCCTTGGAGAGCAAGCATTCCTGAGAGATCGAAGTTTTGAAGTTAGAAATCAGTTCTTCAAGATGAATCACTTTGGTTAAATTAGCAGTTCTGATTTTCTCCTGGAATTCTGATGGGATCTTTAATCCCAAAATTGTCTTTACAGCTTTGGAAACATGATGAGCAAGGAGAAGAGGGACTCTGTCAGCAAGGAGGACCTGGCCAGGGCCACTTTAATCACCATCACCAACAACATTGGCTCCATAGCACGGATGTGTGCCCTTAACGAGGTATTTGGGGAATCTCCTCCCTTGCTCCCTGCCTGGAACATCCCCTGTGTGCTGCTGCCTGCTTGAGGAATGTTCCCACTCTGGGAAGCAGTGGGAGAGGAGGAAAGGAGGGACAGGGGGTGGAGAGGCTGGATATCTTCTCTGTGCTCTGGATTTCTTGGCCAAGCCCCAGCACTGCCACGGCCTTTGCTGCATCTTTGTGCTTTCAGCTTCTTTACAGTGCTGCCTTGTTGCATTCATGTCAAGCAGCATTGTACAGGGCTATGAAAGAGCAGAGAGCTGCTCTGCACTCCATCCTGAGCCTGCTTCCATGGATGGGCTGTGGGATCCAGCATCCTCCTGACTCCTCTGGCTCTGCAGCCAAAATGAGGCAAGACATGTCCTGAACAGCCTTGCTCATAATAAATCTGCTGATTCCGTGCTCTGGAGCTCAGCTGAATGAAAAGAGGATCCTCAGTAATTCAGGGGAAGTGTTAATCAACGTGGGGAGGAAAATCCACACAAGGATATGAGTGCAGGGGCAGGTGAGACTTGATCTGATTCCTCAGAAAGAGGATGAATAATAATCCTAAATTACTGTTGTGTTGGAGAACAAGAAAGCTTCAGAGCTTGGATCAGAACTATTTTGGGATGGAAAAGTAAGGCTGGAGGTCTGGTTTAAAACCAAAATAATCAATACTTGGTTGGTCTTTTTCTTTCTTTGAAAATTGTGTTGGTTATGGGCTCCTAATCAGTTTTTCCCTCCCAGTTTAACAGTAGAGTCACTCAGGTATTTCATGATGGATCAGAGGCCAGAGCTGCCATGAGGGGAGGCAGGTGGCACTTGATGATCAGTGTTCCCAGGCAGTGCAAGGATTTTGTAGGAAAATCAGCTCTTCTATCCCAATTCCTGAGGTAGAAAGGCTGCAGTTTGGCCTGGGAATTCCTGGGAGAGTCTGAGGAGGAAGGTGGCTTAAAATGGCCTGGTCCTTCTTTGTGATGGAATTGTTGGTGGTGTTCTGCACGTTGTGCCAGACACTTGGAGCAGGAACTTAATTCATAGAATTTCAGAGCCATTCTGGTTGGTGAGGTCCTTTGGGATTATCCAGTCCAACCATTCCCCCAGCACTGCCAAGGCCACCGCTGCCCATGTCCCCAAGTGCCACATCCACATGGCTGTTAAACCCCTCCAGGGATGGGGACTCACCCTGGGCAGCTGTGCCAGGGCTGGAAAACCCTTTCAAAGAAGAAATGTTCCAAAATACCCAATCTAACCCTCCCCAGGCCCAGCCTGAGGCCGTTCCCTCTGCTCCTGTCCCTGTCCCTGGAGCAGAGCCCGACCCCTGGCTGTGCCCTCAGAGCCACAAGGGCCCCCCTGATCCCCCTTTGCTCCAGGCTGAGCCCCTTCCCAGCTCCCTCAGCCCCTCCTGGGGCTCCAGACCCTTCCCCACATGGGGTTTTTATCATTGCAAGCAGAAAACAGAATTTAGCTTTAATATTCCTTTGCTTTTCCCTTCACACTTGCAGAACATCAACCGTGTGGTGTTTGTGGGCAACTTCCTTCGGATCAACACCATCTCCATGAGGCTCCTGGCCTATGCCCTGGACTACTGGTCAAAGGGACAGTTAAAAGCACTTTTCTTGGAACATGAGGTAAAATTCCTTTTTAAAATTTGTCTCATGGCAAAATACAAATCTTAGGAGCGCTCTGGAAAGAGCCACGTGGAGCTGTTGGGTGCACACAGTGCAGGAGGAGCTCAGGGCTTTGCT